AAGATGTGTTCTATTTAGGTTTAAGATATGTAGGCTTACAAGAACGAAAATTAAACTGTGTAAAAGAGCGGTACTGTCACTGATTAAAGCGCAGGCAGAATGTGCAGAGTTGGATATATCCTTGCCAACCCTCAGCAAGTTGGAAGAACTGCAAAGTCTCTTAAATTCAATATCTGATTAAGGTCTGGGATAGTCCAAACTGATGCCGTGATATCTACTGGGCGAGACGAATTGATGGGAATGTTTGGCAGCACCAAAGCTAGCAGACAGCCCAGGGTTTGGTCTGTTCTCTGTCTCTCCGTTCCGTATGGTCACAGCAGCAATATTAAACTTTTAGCCTCCACAACCGGGGTGCTACCTGTTAGGAGTGGCTTCAGGGCTGTGCTCATTCCCAAGCCATGGCTGGGACCTGCTGGCAGCACACTGGCCAAGCCCCAAAGCAGCCCAGCCTTGTCCCTGTTTTATTTCTTGGTATGGAGATTCCCTTACAGCTGGTTCAGCTCAGAGCACTGGGTCTGTGGACTTTTTCAGGCTCAGACCAGGGTGTCCCTCATTTATCTCATTTATTATTATATACCTCACATCTTTATTCAATGGCACAGTAAGTGCAAAGATAGCAGAGTTCACCCTGCTCACTGCAGGGACTCCAGTGTTTGGGGAGGGCATGGGGACACCAAGCCAGCATCCCTGGCTTGTGCCATTTGCAGCAACGTGTCCCATATACACAAATATCCGTGAGGAGGACCAGCCTGTGGCTGGAAAAGGCAGGTCTGGTGATTTGTACTGCTATTCAGCATCACCTCTACTTTTCTTTCTTTTGCCAGATAGGCATTTGCCAACCACTGTTGCATAGAATAGGCTCTTTCACAGCCAGTATTAATGTTACTGGGCAAGTCTTCCAGCAGCTTTTGCATTTGACCCTTCAACTGTCTTTCAAAGGTGAAGCACAAAGCAAAGCATTTAGGCAGAAGTGCAAGCAGATCCAGGAACTGTGTAGAAGTCTCCCTGTCTTCCTTCTCAAGAATATTTTCAACACAAAGATTTAAGCTCAAGCCCCAAGAGTGGATAGAGTGGATAGAGGTACGGGTGAGGCAGATCCTGGCTGGCTTAAACCAGGTCTGAAGTGTAATGAGGCTGAGATATGAGTATGTTTATTGAACCATTTAATCATCTCTTTGGGATCTGCCCCACCAAATACAGACTATCTGATTAGACATGCCTGTACCTGAACTGTTCAAGCATACGCGTTGTAGAACCCATGGACAGAAGCAGGCTCACCAAAGCACTGCCAGGGATCACAGCACATCCACAGGCTGGTCAACTTAACTGAGTCCTCCAAATGCTGTTTTGTCCCCACTGATTTGGAAGTCAGTTCCAGGTGACTCTCTCAGGTACAACTACCCTACCCTGTCCACTACCCTGTGGACATCTAAATCCAGAGGAAAACCAGGCCTCCTGCTACTTTGGAGCAACCTTTTTTGACTCCAAGAGCAACCCAGCCCGTACTCCTTGCTCTGAACGTTGTATGTGCCAAGGACTTGTTGGATCAGACCTGAAGCTTTACGTAAAATGACTCTGATGTGTATTTATATGAATCATATATATTAATTACATAATAGACACTTACGTTCCCCATCCCACATGCAGTTTGGTTACAAAGACTGAGTGCCTTCACTATGAATCATGCAATCAGACCATATCCCTCAGGCAAAACTCTCTCTAGAATGGCCATGTTCATATATTCCCATGGTTTCCACTACAATATTACTTAATTAAGAATATTAATCTGCTGGGCCACCAACTTTCACTGCCTTTCAGGGAAGTCGAAGCAGACAGGTAGTTTAATAAAATATAGGGAAACATGCTCTTGTTATGATTGAGTCGGTGCAATGAGGTAAGTCAATTGTATGGCCTCATGAGCTTATTTTTTTATTTATTCTTGATATGAACACAGACATATGCACCAGAGAGATTATTAGTCCACAAGCTGCACGTTTTTTGCAGCCAGTCTTTGGGTGGGCTCTTTTTTACTTTTCAGCTATTGCTGTTGCGTATTATGAGCAAACTATCACTGATTAATTGTTGGACACTGCAGATGAAGTACCAGTCCCCAGTTGGAGAACAAAAGATGAATATTTGAAGTCTGACACCTACATTGTCACGGGTGCTCATCTGCACGTGTCTGCAGCGTGCAGGCAGACATTTCAGCTCTGCAAAGCAATCAAGTATGCGTCTAGACACTGGCACGACCAGTTCAGCCACATTACACCAGCCTGTCTGAGTAACTCAAGGAATCAGCTTGCTGCCCTTTTCCCCTCTTCCATGAGATGGAGAAATGCTTGTGCTGCTCTGACAATCCCTCACCCCACCCTTTCCTACAGCTCCCCAACTCTTCTGATGCTCAGCCTGAACTCTGGTCCAAGCACTGGCGTCCTCGGCACCAAGAGCTGTACTGCTCCACGATGGGGAGGAGTGTGAGCATTTTGGTCAGGAACTGGATGCATTTCCAGCCTTAGGAGTATCATCAAAAACAGCTCCTGTGGGCTGCCGCTGACCATGCCATCACTGCATTGAAAGATACCTTTGCTTTTTAAATGGTAAGCTTTCAACACGTGAGTGAGAGCAGCCCAAGCAGAGGTCTAGTCAAAGCCACAGAGGTTTGTAGAAAGGCTGAGTGATGTGAAGCTGTGGCAGGTAGTCAGCCTCGTGCCTATAAGGTGCGACATTTGAAGCCTGAGGGGGAAGTTTCACCCATTTTTCCTCCTGCATGATGTTAAGAACCAGGCAGTAAATATGGCATTCATTAAAATTACCTTGTATATTTTTAACAGCCCTGATAATCAGGTTTCTGCCACCATATTGGGAAGCAGAGTTTGTTTTTATTCAAGGCCTTGTAAAATGCTAATTTCTCCCTTATGCGCTGGAGATGCCTGACATTTTCTAATATTTTTAAGAGTTTCTTAGTCGTCATTTTTCCTCTTCAAAGCTCAGCTCTTTCTGAAAGATGTGTCAAGTAACTGAGCGGCGGTTTGTTCCTCTCAGAGTGCAAAAGATAAATCCGCTGCTGTAATAGAAAGCTTTAAATCTGTATTTTCTCTCTGCTTTAAACACAAAAGGGGCCAGATTCTGCCTTCCTGTGTGAGGCAGAAATTCTGGAGTAGCATTCCCAGTAGGGGCTGCAACATATTTCCTTACTGTTTGGGAGTCAGCTCTCCTCCACCCAGCAATGTCGCTCTGTGATTCTGAACATCAGTAAACACTGCAGACAACCTCTAGCACTTACATGGAAGATGAAAGCCCAGCTTTCTCAATTCTAAATCTACCAGGCAGCAAGATCCCTGTGCTGGGACAGGGTGGGAGCACTGCGTAGATGCTGGTTGAGCCCTCAGAAGACAAAGAGCAAGAATAGCGATGGCAATCAACTGCAGAGCGCAAGGGAAAAGTTCAGCACACGGCCACATAATGTACACAGGCAGGCCTTCAGTCATCCTGCTTGCGCCCACATGCCAGGCGCTCACGTCTGAATGCACCCAGACAAGCAAGGGCTGCAGGGCAGGTGCGCGGTGCAGCCGCTGTGCTCCCAGCCGAGCCTCTCCCGGAGGTGTTGCTGAGGGCACAATTGCAAAAATAACCAATTCAACAACACAGACCATCAGGAGACTCCAAAGGGAACCTGTTTCGGGCCAAACAAAGCATTTTCTCAGCATCAAGCCAATCTAGTTTTTTGCACCAAGTCAGCGCATTGCACAGGGAGCCCACGGGAACCTGCTCCACTACCTTGCACCCCTCGGCCCACACGGAGGCGGTTGGCATCTCTGAAGATGCAGAGCACGCAAGGGACCGCAGAGGGCTTTGCAGCTGTTTGTTTGAGAAACAAAGCTTCCCTCTTCTGAGATGAAAGAAATCAAGGAGTCAAAGCTAATCAAATCCTACACGCCTGCTGGCTGGAGTTCAGCTTGTCAGGGATGCAGTGCAGTGCGGTGCTCAGCATTACCAGTGCTACGAGCGTGGTGGATGGGGAAACACGACAGCAAGAAATTCACCTGGCTGCAAGTCAAACAGGTGTATGGCAGCAGCATCCAAGACTGTAATAGTATCTTGCAAACATGCAAAAAAGTAGTAATGTCATAAGGCTGATTCTTTAGTTTTCATTAATGAATCATAAAGACTTCACGTTACACGTGCTTTTTGGCATATGCTGCTCATATTTCCACACTTGCAAGGTTGGAGCTTTTATGCTGAGCCACCCTCGCCTAAGGTTCCTCATTCTTGGCAAGATACACATGGTGACTGTGTGCCATTACAGGCTCTATCTTATTTTGGGGCAATCAGATTACTCCACGCAGATGGTTTTATCGCTGAGACCATACAGGTGAATTGCACAGTATGTAAATGTACATTTGTTTGATAAAAAAAAGTCTCAGTTCTTAGCTGCTGTCTTGTTTGTGTTCCTAAACAAGTTTCTTCTCTCCTGCATCCTTCCAAAGCACAATTTGTCCAATCTTTACCCTAAACTGACTCAGCTAGTTTCTGATAAGCATCTGAAGTACTCATTAACTAAGGAAGAAACAGGCTTTCTTGTGCTTCTGGATTAAAATGAGGGAGCATGAACCTTCACCCTCACTAATGAAGAAATAAAAGGCATCTATCTAACATCACACACAAAGCAAAATGAAAAGACCAAAATATAAAGAATATCACAGTGATGTTAAAACATGTAAGCAAACATCCTCCTGGGGGGTGCAGGGAGCGGAAGAGAGAGAATTTGATCACAGAACCAGCTTCACAGTAAAAAAAAATATTCTGATCTGAAATGGACCTTGTGACATTGAAACCGTTCATGCTCTGCCCACAGCAGCTCTTTCTGACCCCCACCCACAATGCAGAAGCTCTGATATCACCAACCAAGCTTTGCTGTTCTTAGTAGGGTTTGTCTGCAGCCATTCAGGCGGCCTCTGTACCTGTCAGCGTAATTGTTTTAGGAGAAACATGGACACTACCTGAGAGGCGTCGGGGCACGTCGGTGATGGCTGGAAGTCCTGTGCCTCGGGTGGAGGACAGGGGAGTTGTGGAGTGAATGGACGGCGAAGTCATCTGGCTCAAGTAGGACGGGTACGACTGATCATAGGACCACGGCGGGGACGACTGCGCCTGCCTGGGGTCTGGAAAAAGGAGAAAGAAATCAAAAGGTAAGGAAGAGAAACTGTAAGGCACCGACAGTCTAACTGAAAGAGATGGGGCTACTGAACATACACACATCAGTGTCACAAGGAAGGACAACACAATGAAGCACAACTTGCTCCTCCAGACTCAATGTGTTTAAGCCTTGCTCTGTAAGTTTCCCTCCTGGTAACAATCACAGAATCATCACAGAACGGCCTGGGTTGCAAAGGCCCACAGCGCTCCTCCAGTCCCAACCCCCTGCTGTGTGCAGGTCGCCAACCAGCAGCCCAGGCTGCCCAGAGCCACATCCAGCCTGGCCTTGAATGCCTGCAGGGATGGGGCATCCACAGCCTCCTTGGGCAACCTGTGCCAGTGCCTCACCACCCTCGGGGGGAAAAACTTCCTTCTAAATATTTGGGGGAAATGAATGGGGCAGAGAGCAGAGCTGAAGATTCAGCAGCTGTTCTGTAAACTCCTGATGTCTCTCACCCAGCTCTGACAGTGTTACACTGGGACTCGCCAGTCCTTGAGGATGTGGACAAAAAAGATAACAGTAAATAAGAGACATGGGGGCATGCTGAGGCTGAGCTTGGGAAGCGCATGTAAAAGGCAAGGAGACTCTACAGTCAGCACTTGGCATGCCTGTCAAGTTGTTATCCAGTTCAAACATGACAAAAAAGTGGTTTTAGTGCTGAAAATGCTCTCCAAGAAGGAAAACGTCATTAATCTTATTAGCATCTGTCTAAAAATGTCACATTTGGAGGCTGGCCCAGTTACCTACCGTCACCTCAATTAGAACAACATGAAGCCAGATGGATTGGTATAACTAGCAGAAGCTAATGATGCATTCACGTGTACTCATTAGAGCTCACAATGAAGGAAATTATTTTAAGGATAAATACCGTTTATTTTTTGCTGAAGGTCTGGTGGGCTGCACCGAGTGAGGAAGAGGAAGGGCTACTTTTACTCAGCTGTGCTGCGATTCAGAAACCATTTGTTTTCACTCAGTACGTGGTGATAAAGACACAAACAAAATCTTCAACAGTCAATTATTATTTTTGTTTCTTTATACTGATAAAAACCAAGCACTTTCAACCCCCAACGTTTTTCTGGGCACTGCCAGATAAACTGGTAACTGTCTCCAAACTCGTCCACAGAAACCATCCAAATTCTCCCCGGTACCTTCAGTGAAGCATACCAGGTTCACTCAGTTCAGAGAACCTGCTTCATCAGAGCACTGTCCTACAGCACTGCTTTGCAGACAGGAACGTGACAGCCACATGGCATAAGCAAAGGCACTTTTTCAGGAAATTCAACCTTTTTTTTTCTCTTTTTTTAACTCCTTTCCCTACTCTTCCACACAGCAAAAGCTTGTAGTTTTAGCTATGCCCTGTTTATTTTTTCTTTCAGACATGATTTGTTTGAAGAGATGTCTGGAAAGCAGATACTTCCTTGAAGCAAAATAACTATATAGATTGAAAAAAAAAAAAAAAGTTCCAATTTAATTTTAAGAGGATTTTCCCCGAGTTTGCCATTTATATTAGAGCTGAGTAATATAAATGGTTAATATAAACTCCTCAGAAATCCGAAGGACACTTGATCATTAAATGTAATGAACTTCTTTGTTTTAACAATTTCAGGGCTAGAGTTGTATAGATTGGCGCAGATTCAAATTTGACTGACTGCTCGTTGTTATATCTGATATCGACATATTTCTCTGCCTCATTCCACTACTATAATTCACCATTCAGTCAATGGTAAATGATCTTCAACTGGGAACGGAAAGCCTGCGCTTGCTGGGAAAACAATCTTAAAATTAATGATGTGTCAGGAGCACAATCTCAAACCTAGGGTCCTTCAAACTCCAAGAGCTTTTCAACCCGTGTTTCTGAATCCAAAACAGGGTCCCTTAAAGTTGTGCTTTCAAGTCAGCCCCACCACTGGAAGGAAACTGTAGAGCAGGTAAAGATTGAGAAAAATCACAGCAGAGGATGTTTTTGCAGGAATTTGGTTTAAGTTGGTGAAAACCTCAGGAAAGGAGCTGCCATGTGGAGGCTTATGCTACTTCTTTGGTGTAGCCATCATGGCATGAAGAGATTCTGATGACTCTTTTATCCTCCCACTCTGAACACTCACGCTAGGTTTGGCTTAATTCAACAAGTGCAAATGCCTCTGTGAACACAGGAAGGATCAGGGACATGCTCAGGGACATGATTTAGAGGAGGGTTGTTAGTTAGGATAGTATGGTTAGGTTGTGGTTAGACTAGATGATCTTAAGGTCTTTTCCAACCTGAGTGATTCTATGGTTCTGTGACTCTAACAGCAAAAAATGAATGGGCTCACACAGCCTTTTAAATAGTATTTCTTGTGACAATGTCAGAGGCAGAATATGGGGCTGGATGGACCATCTGCTGATGCCAGAGCATTTCAGATGCTCTCAAGACATTTAGCTTAATTTTTACACTCCCCCTATTGCTCCTCCCATCTGCAGCACCACATCACCAGAATTGTGTTCTAATTTATACTTGATTTTAACTCTTCATGAGCTCCAAACTGTGAGATGTTTTTGCAAAGTGTTCTAGAGAAACAGGACAGGCTGTTAGGGAAGACACTGTGCTGTGACATAACTGCTTCTGGCCCTTTCACAGATCTTTTGTTGAACTTTCTACCTAAATTTAAGGAAAAGAATGGTAATTTGTTCCCTGAGTATTTCATTCACAAAATGGGGTGCTTCTCTTGGCTAGAAGCTTTCAACCCAGATGTTCAAGTGTGAACTTGGGCCTCTCTCAAGCCAGACTGTAGGAAACTCAGCTCCAGGGAAATTATATCGCGTTTTCTCACAGAATGGGAAATAATTTGGAGGAAAATCCTCAACCAAATTGAACAGAAGATGCATCAGAGCTCAGTGACTGAAGAAAGGCTGCAGCAGGCCAGGCTGGAGGTCAGTGTGATTTCTCCACACTGAGGCAGGGCCAAGGTCATGGCTGAGGCCAGGTGGGGAATTCGTCCTGGGGCTTCAAGCATTATCTTTGGCCTGTTGGGAAAGCGGAAACCGAAGATACCAGTTTTACCAGATCCTGAGTAAATGCCCTAAAACCAGCCTCTGTCTGGACATGTGAGGAGCAGAATTCAAACGAGGTCTGCTCGCCCAAAGGGTCACGGTCATTGCTCAGTGCAATTGCCAAGTGCCTGCAGTAAAATGCAGCGGAGCCAACAGCCACCCCACGGAGCCAAAAGGCAGCCCATGTAGTCCTCAGAGAAGACAGGGAGCTGTGGGCCACACACAGCAGCGCTCGGCCTGCTGCGAGGACGTCCCCTGCAATGCTGCTGTGCGGAGGCCTTGGCCACAGAGGCCCCACCTCTCTTCTGGCTTCCCGTACCACAGAATCAAGCCTTGTGAAGGCAGGACGTTGCCAGGTCTATTGCTTAGAGGTGCCTGCTTCCACAGCTTCCCCTTGTGATGCAAATCCAAGTGGGTGCCAGAAGGGAATGCAGCAGTGTGCTCAGCAGGGTCACCTCCACCGTGCTGAAGGGGTGTCATGGCCACTGAGCACACCAGTGGGGCAGACAGTGCAAGGAGATTTGCAAGAAGTTTTCCATGCCTCCGTATAGATGAGACCATCCCTTCTGTTTGCAGAGAGTGGAGGGCCACGCTCGCTTGCCAGGCTGGCAGGCACCCACTGTGAGTGAGAGCCAGAGGCTCTGGGCTGTCACATGAAGCGCTGCATGCGCTGGCAGCCAAAGTGTATCTTTCTAATTGCTGAAAGCCCCGAATATATGAGAAACCCCAGAGCTCTGAGGCAGAGCTAACATGAATTCCTGCCTGACGGAATCCCTAGAAAACAAGGGAAAATGTGAATACAGAAGTACACTGAACGGCTCAGGAGGAAGCCCACCCAACTCCCAGCACCAGAGGCCTGCAACCGGGCTGGCCCAGCCTTAAACAGCAGCAACAGAGGCAGAGGGCCGCTCTGAATTTGACTTTGCACTTGAAAATTTTGGAGTGATTCCTAAGAACCGTCCTCCTTTTGTAAACATTTTTGTTAAGTCTGTGTGGGTGTGAAGAAAAGTGCGGCTTGTGCAATACTCATGAAGGACGGGGCTTTTTCATGCATATGCAAAGTCACGCTGGGTGCAGATGAGCGGAAATGAGTCGGTGGGTGAGGACCAACTAACCCAGCGACAGCCCCTTCCTGATGGCACTGCCAGGTGTGCCTCAGCGAGGCAGGAAAACCTGGGCTTGCACATGCTTTTGTCTCTCAGTTTCAATGCCACACCGATAGCCAGTGGAAGACTTGATCAGCTCCTGATCCACGTAGTCAAGCTGACTGCATCAGCTTAGTGGAAAATAAGAGCTTTGAAAAATCTGCCTCATCACAGAATCACAGAATGGCCTGGGTTGGAAGGGACCTCAAGGATCACGAAGCTCCAACCCCCCTGCAACAGGCTGGGCCACCAACCTCCCCATTTCATAGCATACCAAGCCTAAATTTGGATGCATAATACTAAGCCCAGAAATAGAGCAACTCCTCATGGCCCATTTCTCCCACTGATTATCCAGCAATGTCAGCTCTCTTCTTTCAATGGAAAAGTGTCAAAAGAGAGAAGAGAAAGCTGGAATATTGTCCTGCAGAAGTAGCTATCTGTTCCTTTGGCGCTGGATTATATCATATCATATCATATCATAGCATCACAGAATCACAGAATGGCCTGGGTTGAAAAGGATCACAGTGATCACCTAGTTTCAACCCCCGCTATGTGCAGGGTTGCCAGCTACTGGACCGGGCTGCCCAGAGCATACATTATGAAGCATACAGATTTACTATAGACAAAGATCAAATTTCCATTTCCCAAGCTGAGCTCTGGTGCTCAGAGCATGACCATAGGCTCACAGCCCCTCAGCATACAGCCTATAAAACCTAAACGTCACATGTGTACGCACACTTTCCAAAAACACTTATTTAAATCCAGTCGTTGGTTCCAGTCTTGGCTGCTGCCCATTCCATTAGTGCTACTGCTGATACCAAAAAACAGGCTGTCTGGAGCTATCTGTGGTAAACACCCAAAGCAAATATCTTTGGTTATGATCTTAACAAAGCCAAGATGACTTTCTGCATGAGTAAACACGCTATTGTTGTAAACCCAACCCCAGCAAAACAACAACAACAAAATGCAACCTCCTCCTATCCTCTGACTATTTCATGGGAACATTTGAAAGCCCAGGGCTTGATCTGGATTGCCCAGTTCAATCAATGAACGCAGTGGAGTTACACCCCTACGGACACCACTGTAATTGAGACCAGATTTTGGCCTTAAGAACCTCTACAACCATTTTTCCTCTCAGTCCCTCAGTGTCACAATTCTAAAGGAAAAAAAAAAAAAAAAAAGAACTAAGCTGAACAAGTCTTGCCAGTAGGACAACTAAATAGCAAAGGAAAAAAAGAAAAGTTAAAAGAATACTTTAATAGGAGGGACACAGACTTCACCCGATGGAGGTTCATAGTGGCAGCTTGCCAGTTGCCCCAAGGATGCAATCAATTTGCATAAAGCACAGCAGACTGCAGCCACCCTAGGGTTTGTAACAAGGAATCCCAGCTCCTCCATCTCGTATGCTGACTTGTAGCTTTTATCCCATGAACTGAAGGCACAATGCACCCTGTATAACTACAGGATGGGCTATTTCTAATTGGTGTTCTCCAAGCAATCACGTACCGTGCCTGCTGCGTTCAGCAGGATGATGTGCACGGCTGCAGACTGGTGCATGCTGCAGCATGCTGCTGTCCCAGGTCTAACACAGGCAACTCAGGGGAGAGCTCACACACTGCCCAGCTACAACAAACAGCTACCCGGTTTGTTCCATGGCTGGTGGTCTCAGATAGCAGACACTGGGCTGCTGCTTTCGGTCTGACAGGTGCTTCACAGCCCCACATTCACACCCCACAACCGCGCTGAACGAGAGGAGGATTGTGCCATCTCCCTGACTCTGCAGGAGGGCAGTGCCCAGCCCCACCAGCCCAGAACCGGGGGAATGGAGGACAGGTACCATGCGAGGAGCTGAAGCTGCTTTCTGCCCACAGCCTTCCCACCAGCCTCAGTTCTTAATGCTCTACCTGATAGTGGCGATGGATGCTCCCACCAACTTTCACCTCCAAATTCCTTCAGTCTGCTTTCTACAACTTTAAAAACAGTGAAAAACAACTAGGGCTGAAAATGCAGCATCACTGAAGCGTGGGGGAAAGGGGGGGAAGCAGAAAAAGAAAAAAAAAAAAAAGGAAAAAATCACAGGACCTGCTTTTTGAGCACTGCTCTTTCAGTGCTGCAAGTCACAGGTTGCCCATTGATCAGATGGAGCCACCACGGTGATGGAGCAGGAAACCTCACGGAAGCCCCACTCACAGCCCCGTCAGATCTGCTCTGACAGAAGCTCATCCACACTGGTTGCAGTTTAGAAAAAGAACAGTTTTGCTCATTTCATACCGAAGCAGTGCTGCAACGAGCCAGGCTCTGAGCAGGACTGTAACTCGACCCGCCTGCAAGTTGTTCCAGTGCCGTTAAGGGAGAGGGGAAAGCAAAAAAAAAAGCAAATATACCAATATCCAAATGTGAGCAGACAGCATCCCTGATTTACGGGCAGCAAGCGGGGTTCAAATTGAATCTGCACTGCCTCAGCAAAGGCATCTGCTTATTGGGCGATTTGTTTTTTAATGACCCTTCACTGTTGCTTTTGCAGGCTCCTAGTTAAAATGCCATGTTGAATAAGAGCAACTCTGTGCCTCGTGCTGCTGCAGGCCGGTGTTGCGGTGGGTTTGGGACTGCGCTGCGATTTGTAGAAGCTGTACTCTGATACTCGAGGCAAATAAACACGACCCAGACAGAGAGAAGAAATGTAAGAGTGAACCCCAAAGTGTTTCTCCGTGCTCAGGTGTGGGCCAGTCAGGCTTTAAATATTATTTGTGTTTAATCATGCAATAGCTATGCAAGACCTCAAGTGGAACTACACAAAACCAGTTTATGTGCTTACTAGGCATAATACGGATTTTGTCATAGGAATGCAGTATTTACTGTTAAATTTATAAGGAATTAATTATTTCCCCTAAATTACTAGGTAAGAGATTAAGAAACAAAGGTATACCTAAAAGGAATGCTTGCTTAATTCCAAGAAAGGCAATAAAAACATCCTTGGGTTCAGACGAGCATCTGTACTCCTTTCAACACATCCCCAGACCCTACCGGCCCAGCGACCACATTAAGAATCCTTTGGGGAACTGGGGGAGGAGGGCAGCACCAGCAGCCCTATCACCGCACCCAGCAGCCATACATTTTGCAGTTTCCCATGGGCTGCCAGCACCTGATCAAAGAGGTGTCTGCTCTGAGGCATTCCCTTTGTCTCCCATTGGCGCAGCTTGTGTGGCAAGGAGCATCCACTCCTCGCAGAAGAACCGCGAGGGACCGTCCGCAGAAGCATCCCAGTGCTTTGGTGGAACATCAAAGCATGCTGAGCTTTGCAGATTGCAATCAACATCCTGAAGAGCACAAAAAAAGCCTTGTGGGGAAGCCAGTGCAATTCACAGGGCTCGCACCGATGCACCACGCTCACATGAATGGCTTCATTAAATGGAAAGCTAACGATAGTCTTTGTGAGCTGGGTACCTGGCTGCTAGAAATCGAGGAGACGAGTGGGGAACAACATGGCACTGTATTGGAACACTGCACAGCCCCGTATTCACTAAAAATCTGAATACGTAGCAGAGTCCTCATTGCTTTAGGGAAAATGAGAGCCCTCTGGGATTCTAAAGTATCCCATGACTCTGGATTTATCTGTCAAGAGAAGCATATAATCCATAATAGATGGGAAAGTCAGCCTGCCTTCCTGGGTTCAGCTCGTTCACTCTACCCCACCAGCAGCACTTCCCACTCTGAATGAAGCCTCAGCTGGAGCGGGCTTTGAACTCTTCAAGCTGCAAAGCAGATAGGGAACAGCATTCAGCTCTGTCTGCAACCAGGCTTATTTAAACCTCATCTGAAGTTGTCACCTCCAGGAGCTGTAAATGCTGCTGCTGATTCATAACGAGGCAGAGAAGTACTCTATTAATCAAAGCCAGCAGAACATTTTCTACAGGAGGCATTTATGTGAATGAGAACAGCATATGAGGTTACACTTAGAGAGGAAGAAAATTACAAGGGGATCTCAGTTCTCGTGCTTCAGGGCATAAGCTGATCACCAGATGGGGTCAGGAAGAATTTCCCCCTCCTTCACTCCTAGATGCAGTTTTCCACAATAGGTAAACTATGGAGACACAGGAGAGAAGCTGATTTTAGCCCCAGATTTTGCCCAATTTGGGGGGGAACTGCCATGTCCTCAAACACGGTCAAACAGAAGAGAGTGGTTAGGTGAGAAGAAATACTGGGCTTCATCTGGTAGTTCATACCCAGGAAATGTTAAGTACAAGAGTCCTGACTTCGCATGTCCAACTAAACCTGGCCAAAAAGACTGCTCTGGGAAGGTGGTGGGCATTAGATGTAATGAGTGATACCACATATTTAATATATTATAGATGTTATAGAAGTCTAGTTAAAGCTAGACTTCATGAGCTGGGAGCCACAGCCCATGGGAACCTTTTTTTTTGTTGTTGTTTCAATTCGCTCAGTGCTTGGGGTTCAAATTAACCCACTTACTTCTCTTCCTCCCTGCAAATTAATAGACCAGTTGAACTTAAAAAAAGAAGAAAAAGAAAGAAGAAGAAAGCCACAACACTTTGTTAAAACCACTAAGTTTCAGCTGGTATCATGTCAAAACCACTTGAAACATGAAACCAGAAGTCTTCCTAGGTTGACTCAAAGACTATGTCTACACCAGGAGTGCTTTACCAGTACAGGAATACCGGTGTGTTACGTTGGCAAAGGGCTCCTGGTGTAGACACAACAGAACAGTAAAACTGAGTATTAAGGCTGCCTAGAAAATTGAGTTGAGAGTTTTGCTGACAAACTTTCATCCAAGTTGAGCCGTCCAACAGTTCTAGCAAGTGAACTGGTCAATGGCATCACCTCTTTGCATCCCGGAGAGATGCAAATACATCAGCAGAAGTTTCGAGCGTAGCGATGACCATAATTGGGTAGAGGTTGCTTTGAAACTCCTTTGAAAAATACAACCAGCTCTACATTTAGAAAAACTAACAAAATCGGGGTGGTTTTTTTTTGTAGGTTTTACAGTTTTGTTGCAAACTTCTGGCACAGCTGCAGTTAAGCATCTGATTTCAGGCGTACGGTCTGTGACACGTGGCATTTCACCATTTCTCTCAGCACACTGAAATCTGTCCCTCAGCATGCTATCATAAACGTTGCATACAACCCTCATAAGCAACCTTTGGAGATTTCTCCGTAACGCAGTCTGTTTATTGTAACACTGGTCAGCACTGGTGCTGGAAGGAAACTGCCACATGAGAAGATTGTGTTATTGTTCTGACAGGAAGACCACTGAATTCTGGGTGCTTCTCTCAACAACAGTGCAAAATATAAAGGCTGAATAAAAATATCTGTTCTAATATGTGCTAATAGGTACTATTACAGAGCCAGAGGTGAAGGCACAGCAACATGGCAGTTAGGATTTCACCAGACTCCTATTCAATTTACCCAGATTGACTATTTTGAACCTATGACAAAGACATTTTAAGAAAAGAAAGACATTTTCAGCTTCAAATGCTACAGAAAAAAACACTTCCCACCTAGCTTAGCCTGGAACACCTCTCTCCCTCTGTAATAGCCTCTACGTCTACAGCTGAGATACACACATCCATAAGCAATTACTACCATTGCCTGTGCAAGTCAAACCTATGGTTCTGTCTCTTACCTGTAATCTGACTCTGTCCTTGTGGATTAAAAGGACTTGGTGCAGAGTTCAGAGAGGGCCGTGGGCTCTGGGTCGGGACCCCTACTCTCATACTGGGATGAGGAATGCGCCCTAAATCACTGAGGCGTTCAGGGAACAAACTAGGTTTAGAGTCATCAAGCTTCTGTCTGTGCCCTGGAAACAGCAAATCATAAAATAAAAGCGTTAATAACAAGATTTAGTACTTTAACATACAAAAAAAAAAAGAAAAAAAAAAAAAAAAAAAAAAAGAGGTCTCTAAGGACCTGTTAGCAGATTAATGGACTATGTAGGTACCACCGCTACTCCCAGTAACACAGTGACATTGGTGGGGAATTGGTGTTTTGGTGTTTTGAATGTGGTTGTGCTGGCAGAAGCCTTGACTAGCACTGCTGTGCCCGTGTTGATATGTAATGCAGTAATTTGGATCAAAATAAGCCCTTATGGACACCACACAAGGTCTTTATGGTTTGTTTTTGTTTTTTTTTTCTGCTTTAACTCCACTGGAATGTTAAAGGGGCAAAAGTTTTTTTTCCAAAAGTAAACCTTACATGTACAAGTCATCGAGAGGGACAGTTATTCCACGACCGGACTACATGTTGTGGATTTTTGCTAAGAAAACTCCTCCATAACCTGAGAGCATCTCCAAAAAGTAAATAGTCACTCTCATTTGAGAAGCTTCTGGCCAAGACTGGGTCCTACACTGCTCTTATATATTCAGCCTTCCTCCATGCTTGTACTTCTCCCCAAAAGCAGCCTCACTGCCCTTATGCCACAGGGCTGCCTTTGGAAAAGTTTCCATGGATGCTTGGTTGTTGAAATGCAGAGGGGAAAAATGCCCAAAGCAACAGGATGCACCAAGTGGCACCTTGGTATTCTTCATATTGTCCTTCGGGTGTTTCAAGAGGAAAGGTTTTACTTCTGTAATTGCATTATGTTATATTATTACGTAATGTTGTATTTTTGCTCCCAAGTTTCATTTCTTTTTGAAGTAGTAACAGATGCTCCTCAACCAATGGTGCCTTTGAAGGAGGCAGAGAAGGCATTACTTCTATCATTCAACATATGGAAAAACAGGCATGCAGCGAGATTAAGGTCAGTACTAATTTTACTTAACTTCAGCCATTTATAAATCAGGCATCTAGTCTAAACTCTTCTAATGTAGACTTCCTCTACAGTTAATGGAAAGAAATAGCTACTTCCAGAGGGCAATTCATCTCATTTGTCTCTGACACTAGCCTTAAAATGGGATGATTCACCTTCTGAATTTGCTTTCTCTTCCTTCTCTGATCAGAGAAGGAGCCCACATGACTAGTTTAATTAGGCACTCTCACCATTAGTCAACTTCGCATGGAATTAATCTCACCCAAAGTTAGTAACTAAGGTCACATGAAAAGCATCTGGCAGAGCTGAAATGGGAGTCCAGATCCCCTCACTGCAATCCAGACACGCAGTTGCCTCCATCCCTGTAAACAGTGCCAGGGTATTGGCACAGGCAATACATGGGTTGGATATTTTTATGCTTTTAACACTAGGAAGGGTCTCTGGTGTAGTCTGGGCTGGGAGCAGCTCAGACTCCTCCAGATGATGCCCAGAGGTTTGAGATACACTGCATTCTCCCTCAGCAGTGAAAACACAGCCCTCTGCTTGGAGGCCACGAGAGTTCAGCTTTGCAGACACAGTCAGATTGCCCACATCAGTCTTAGGGCCAGAGAACCAATTCTGGCACTGTTTTATTTGTTTTAACAGTATAAATGAGGCCTCTGAGTCTTGAAATGTATCAGTTCATCTCTCTTCATGAAAGGTAATTTAATGCTGTCATCGTAGCACTGAAATACGTGGGTTCACATCATCCAGCTGGGACTACAGTGTCCAAATGTGGCTTTCTCTATAAAAGACAGCTAACTCTAAACTAAATCTAGAGAAATCAGGGTTCTCTGTAGACTGTGGAAGACCTCAGATCACAGACTTGGAGACGTCCAACAGCTGCCTGGATGTGGGCATGGCACAACGCTCCGGGTGGCCCTGCTTGAGCAGACGTTGGAACTGCCTGACCTAGAAGGCCATCAACCATTCTGAGATTCTGCCATTCTGTCAAAACTGAAGGATTGAGGTTGGAAGATGAGAAAAAACAGCTAGATGGAAATTAATTTTAGAGAAACTTCTCTAGCAATTAAAAAAAATTAATTAGTTGACCCATTATTCTGTGCTTTGAAGTATGATTTTTCTCCCCTGTGATGACTCAGTATAAAAACATGGGGTAGGCGTGAGCTTTCCCATTAAAGAGGAGGAGTTGATGTATGGCAGAGCTCTGCAGAACAATCAGCTGGCATCGGTGACTCCTCTCTATGAGGTATCAATCACTTCAAACGGGGAACGATTTTTGGTGGGCTTGTAACAGCTCTGTAATGGCAGCCTCATTAATTGGATAACATCTCACCTGGTAGTCATTTGCACTATCTCTCCCATCTATGTAAATTAGAACTTGTATAAGCTGGGTGCTAATCTAAAGAAATAACTTTCACACAGATACATACGCACGCAGTCAGTGCTCTCTTGGGATCTCTCGTTCTCTTATATTTTTTTCCACATTTTTTCTGGCTTTGCTTTTGCCTTTGTCAGTCACGTTGACCAGCCTGGTTTTCTCAAGGAACCCATTGCCCCTCTCCTCTTCTATTCGTCCCTCGTCAAGTTCCAGCATGACCAAGAAGGCCCAAAATAAGATACCCCAGGAGCCTATCTCTGAGCTTGCACACCGGGGCTGACTTCACCTGGGAATGAATCTATTCCCAAAGTGAAATTTATTTTGATGGAAAAATTCTACTCTGTGTTTACATTTTGGCTCAAGGATTACACTGAGCTTTTCTAATGAACCAGTGCACAAACTATTTTGATTGCCTTCTGCTCATTCAATGAACGCTCAATACGTAGGGGATCTCTCCTGTACCAACTTGTGCCCAACAACCCCTGCTTTGTTTCTGTCATGCTCTGGTTGCCCATACCTTTTCTGGAACAGAGATTGTATTTAACTCTGCATTATTATAATGAACTATCAGAAGAAGACAAAATTAAGCAGGATAGCAGGGTACTTTCACGTAGACGGGGAAAAAAGAAGGAAGAAGGATTTCCGTGTATGGTTGATCTGAAATAATTACATGTGGATGTGGGTGTTGTCACCTAGAAAAGGTAGGGAAAGGAGGGAAAAGAGATCTCTGCACATCTGGAAGACCCCAGGCATCAATGCAAGTGCAGAAATCAGCAAGGGGCCAAAGGCAGACTTGCCTTTCCCTCCTGGTCATTTAAAATTTAGGGCTGTAACACAGGGTCCCCTTATGACAAAGAGATCCATAGGAGCCATGCTCCTGCAGCACAGCGTCCCAGTGAGGTGAGACTGCATTGCAACTCTGCACATTATGGGCTCCTGTTCTTTAACAAAGCTAAGACACCCACATGGAAAGCAAACAGGAGACTCAACAAAAAGCTTCATACTGAGGAGGTGTCTGCAAAGAAGCGGCAACTGAAATAGCTTTCTTGCCCCGATTCTTGTGCAAGAAAAAATATAAAACAATCCTATTAAGTACAGAGCAGCCGTGAGGCACGGGCTGAGACTCTAAAAAGGCCTTCTGAGTAGCACATCAGCAGCAGCAGTGAAATATGCGATACATGTTTAAAACTCATTCCACAGACTGCTTTTCATCTCCCATTGATGTATGTGTCCGTTGACAGAGAAATTCCTGATCCCAGGGGAGCGTGCTAAGAAAAGCTGTATTCCTTGGTCACAGTCATGAGGCATCATTTTCTTTCAGGAAAAAAGATTAGGGCAGTGTGTGGATAGCTCAGCCAGAATCTGTGATCTGCTGTGGCAGCAATTACATTAAAAAGGAACATGAGGCTACGGAGAGGGTAGGAGAAAATCACGCCGTGGCTTTCTCAGTGCCAGCACCCAGCGCCTGGGACGGTCCTGCCAGCAGTGCTACACTGAGGCCTGGTAGCTCTGTCACAAAGAAGACTGCATGGAATGTGCTGGCCTTACCAAGGGGACAAGCTGCAGGCAGCCTCACCTCGCCAGGCCACGCAGCCCCGGTGTGCTGACAGCACCTAGGAGCTGCCATTCGGTCCCCACATCCCAGCTGTGGCGGGAGATGTAAGGAGCCTTCATCTCCAGCTTAATCAATTCAGTTTAAAGGCGAGGAAGGAACATCTCCCTGATCAAAGACACACGACCTCGAGGCGGATGGGTGCGGGAGCTGGAAGGGGATGGAGCGCATCCCTCATCACTCAGCCCCCGCCGCATGGCTGCAGAAGTCAAGATGTAAGTGGGGCTGTGGGAGAGGCTGACTTGCAGAAAGAAATGTGGCGTTGATGCTTGAAGATTCTTACCTCCTCGGGGAGGAGGGCTGTGCCTTTTTATCTTTCAGTTGTGGGTGTGGAACTGAAAACTAATTAGATTGTGCTACACGTGGCCCAGCCAGATGCTGACACTCAGGGACTCCCTTTCTTTGTACCACGTACACCGCCCACCTTTTTGTTTTTCTGTTGTGTTTTTTTTCTTTCCTTTCTGCTGGTATCAAGGAGATCTGGTTACCAGATTGTCAGCAGATGTTTTTATCGCTCTCAAGTGGGTTAGCTATTTTCAGTCATCACCCATTTCTTTCTGCCTTTTTCACTTCTGTCATTGCATCAACAAGAGGCTTCATGGGAGTCAGGTGTCTCCATGAAAAAGCCAAGGGAATGCAGAAAGGCTGTGAAAGCATGAAGCTGGGCTGTCCCTGCTGAGCTTTGTGTGCTGGGATAATTCCAGCAGAGCACAGGGCAGTGGTCAGATGTGAAGTACCAACAGTAGTGGTGTTTGCCCCGTGTTGTGAGTGTGCTCAGCAGAAGGAGGAGCCAGGGCAAGTTTCACATTATCAAAGAATGCCTTGGGTTGGAAGGGACCTCAAGCATTATCAAGCTCCAACCCCCAACCACAGGCAGGGCCACCAACCTCCCCATTTCACAGCAGCCCAGGCTGCCCAGGGCCCCATCCAACCTGGCCTTCAACACCTCCAGGGATGGACGGGGCATCACAGCCTCTCTGGGCAGCTGTTCCAGCACCTCACCACTCTCACAGCACACAACTTCCCCTGACATCCAACCTCCAGCTGCCCTCCCTCAAC